TTGCAGTAGACCAAAAGCCTGTTAATCAGCTTTCAATTAAAATCAGCTGTGCTGGAACAAGGAAACCTCTAAAACCTGCAGGACAGGGGGCCTTGAGGACCGAATTTGGGAATGCCTGCACACCATTGTTATGTTTTTGGGGACCTCACGCTGTAATCTATAAAATGAGCTCTCCTTGGTGCTGAAAGGGAAATAATATGATAATGTTCGACAAATTAAAATTTGTTAATTGGTTTGCATTGGTGTTCATGTTCTATACTCAGATAGAGCAAAGAAAAAAGAAATGCTTGCTCATCCAGCTGTCCTCAGAAGAGTCCAGGTGTACAAAAGTATTTTTTCTGTAAAGGGCTTTGATGTTTTGAAATATTATTGAAAAAACAGCATCTTCTGACTATCTTAGAGAGCACTGTTAAACCGGTCATTTCAAGATAGAGTATGGGCCAACTGCAAGCTTACCAAGAAGTGGTGGGCCATCTAAAATGCAAGGCAAAGTAAAAAGAGTATTTATCAAAGAAGCAGTAAAGGACAGGGTATTTAGTAGTTGTGCATGCCAAAAAAATAATCTCCTCATATGTATTGTACAGTATGTAAAATAAAACATGCAGGTAATTAAAAAAAAAACAAAATAAGAAAATTGCAGTTTGTCATAAGTCATGTAGTTTACACTAACAACTTGAGGAAAAAACTCAACTTTATGCTCCAAATACAAAAAAACAGATAGGTTACAATGCATAATCCTAAATGCATTGTACCACAAAAAAAAAAACAACAACAACAACTTATTAGTGGTAAAATCATTCCAGGCGTTTATAGCGAGACAGAGAGCTCCAAATAACCTACAGTTATAATGGTATATTTGGTGACTCAGCAGTAAAACTATCATAAACTCTCACTCATAATAGTTTCTGTTAAGTGATTTGTACATTTGGATTTTAACACTTTTTTTTTTCTTCCATTTCACAATGATGTGGTAATTTGTTTAGGTTAATCACACAGAATCGAAATAACATTAAATAAAGATTGTGACTGTATACCCCCCATCAAAAATAAAATGTGAAAAAGTTCAGATTGTACAGCTTTGGAAGACTGTGTAACCCCTTACACACTATTAAACATATTTTATTTCACATTGGATAATATCTCCCACTCCATGCAGGAAGCTGTTGCTTAACTGGAGAGCTCCTTTAGTGACAGACTGCTGCACCCTAAATGCACCAGGGAGCGTTATCACAGATCCTTCCTTCCAGCAGCTGTAAGAATCTATACCCACCACTGTTCCCAACAACCTCAATAAATTGTTACATTCATGCTGATTTTGCATCATTGTTATCTTAATCAGTTAAATAACATGCTGCTGTTATTTTGAACATCTCTGATGTTGCTGCTATTTTCAAATATCCTTTCCTGTAAAAATGTCCATAGCTGTATATTGGTTATTTATTCTCCAGGTGCCCCGTTTTGATATTGTAAAAACATTTTACAGTACAGTATTTTATTGTATATCTTTTATCTTCTCACTAATATGTTTTTTTTAAACATTTTTATCCTTATTTGTGTGAAAATTTTTTTTTAAATTCTATAATATTTTTGCTGCTGTAAACACCAGAATGTATCCATTTTCGGACAATAAAGGGATTTTCTATTCTATTCTCTTCTATTCTATTCTATTCTATTCTATTCTATTCTATTCTATTCTATTCTATTCTAATACAATGATAAAAATAGATATGTCAATGTTCCCAAAACCACTGAATTCTACATAGAGTATGTTTGATGAAAGATGAGCTTAAGTTACTTTATTACCTAATTTAGTCCATGTTTGACATTTCTTTTAAAACGCAAAATAATACTTCTGCAAAAAGAATTAAAATTAAACAATGCCTCGCTTGATAAAAAGACAAACGAGATTAAATGGTAAAGGTGACGATGCAACCTAATAAATAAAAACAGCCGCTTTGCAGTGGCCCCAGGAAGTCTGGGTCCTTTTAAAGGTTTATTGTCCACCCAGTTTCAGCCGTGATCACTGTGTGCATTGTAAATCGGGGTGGAGGTTACATCAAACCAGCACGTAGCTTGGGAAACATCAGTGATAGTTTCCTCTGGAGCTACTTTGCGGCTTATAGGTGATACAGGAGGTTGTGATCTTTTGGCATTAGGGAGAAAGGATGGACTTAAACACATCGATTATTTCCAATTTAGATGCTCGGTGATACCAAAGGATTAGATCAAGGACAGCAGAAATGTGACAACACTTGTTTCAGAAGATTCAGAGCACTGACAGCTCTTGGCCTCCCCACGCAGGGGGCTCCTGCTGAGACAAGGAAAACCCGAGGATCGCGGCCTTCAATCCGGATGACACCGGCACGCACGAGCTTCATCGCTTTGTGTAGCTAGCATCGGCTAAGCTAACAAACGTCTCATTGAATTTGACTTGATTGTAAATGGATATATCAGTTCAGATTGTGTTATTTATGTTGCTTGGACCGGGGAGCTGTTGATGAGTTTGCTGTCCCCGAAATGGGCAGAACACATCTCCTATAGGACCGTGTCTGGCTGTGAAAACGGCTGAAGGTTTTCCAGGTGAGACCTTCGTTCTAGCTAATATCAACCTTAGCTCGTTAAGCTAGTCTGACTAACCAACATCTCAATCTTTGCTGTTTTTTTGACAACCCGTGTCCTTTAATGCATCTGTTGAGGATCTTCTGTCGTTATGTAACCTGATAATTGTTTGTTACGACCAAGTTCTGGTGTTTTAATGATAATTTGTACAGTCAGTGTTGGACAGGTTGGGTAATCTCAATCTGGTTTGCGGCCATGAACGTCGGCTATTGTTATCTTAACTTCTTTGGGTATTTTTTTTTTCTAGTAAGAGTGGTTAATTTAATATATTTAAAACAGTATTTATTTTTTTTTAAATGTTTAAAATGCCTGTTAGTTGAGTCACAGGCCTCTTGAATTGTTTTGAGCTTCTGAAAGTAAAATGATAAAATGGCAATCTAGCATCACTATAGGTATTTGCTTCCCCTTATTCTACAGAAATCTTGATCTGTTATTCAGATCAAGTCATACAGCAGAAAAAAAAACATACTATAAATTTATATATATATATATATATGTATATATATATATATATATATATGTATATGTATATGTAAATTTACAGTATGTTTTTATTTTAAGGTATAATGTCAACAAAACAAAACTAACCTTCAGTCAGCCATAGGGTTGGGGTTTTTTTTCAATTTTCTCTGCCTATATTCATGTTATACTGTTGCATCCTAGTAATTAAAAATATAACTTAATAGTTTATTAAGTTTAAAAAAACAAAAACTATGGAAACCATTGTCTCCACAGTTGCCCAATGGCTTTTATATGACTTGCATCATGCATGCACCAAAGCATGGAGGCGATCAGCTTTTTAAGGAAGCCTGGGTTGCTATAAAGTAGCGTTCAGCTCTACCTTGTTGAATATGGGGACTCCCACCTTCCTCTTTACAAACCCCATGAGGGTGACATTAGATGAGTTTGTTGGTGACATGTAGCCATCATATCAAATTCTTTCGTAAATCTCCACTAATCAAAGAAAAACATGAGGTGTACTAAAATTTCCATGTTGACTTCAAGCAGAGTATAGCATTGATCCCTAATTGAGATGTGTAAAGCTTACTTTGAGCTAAAACCAGGACTTTGGACCACTGAGTAACAGTCCAACCATTTTTCTTCTCAGCAGAGGTAAGACATTTCTACTGCCTCTTCTTGAGTAGTTTCTTGGAACAAGCAAATGCAGCCCAAACCATGTAATGGTGTTTATATATTAACATATTTTCCTTCCACTCAACTTTCCAATAATATACTTGGAAGCTGTCACATTGTTTGGTCACCCAGGTGGTCAAAAAACCCCATGGTGGCAAGGCTTCAGGGGTGGAAGAGAGCCCCTCAGGTCCCTGGTTGCTGCTGGGTTGTCATGGCTCAAACACCTCTTGTGAGGGACGGGGCCCGTAGACTAATAGACCAGGGTGGCGGTTCCCTTCCATAATGGGTGCCAGACTGTGTTTTTTATTTATTGAGGGATCACACTCCAAGAGTGCAGAGTTTGGGGTGACCCTTTATTAGGTTGCCGTAGAGAGAGATATGCTTTGGCTGTTCGCAGCGAAATGCGAAGCAGCCAGGATGATCAGCGCCTCCAAATCTGAGGCTTTGGTTCTTGATGTAAAAAAGGTGGGTTGGCCCCTTCAGTTCAGCAGGGTTCCTGCCTCAAGTGGAGGAGTTCAAGTATCTTGGGGTCCTGTTTACAAGTGAGGGGAGAATCAAGCGGAGGGCTGCATCAGTTAAAATATCATTTAGGAAGCCTATAAATCAATGAACCAGCCAATTTCTTTATACACCACAAATAATCAAGGTGCTAAATGGGTCTATAACTTAAAACAACTCTGTATATACTGTATTTATCCCATGCATCTTTTTCTTCCTTTGGCTCATTCTTCTTCTTTGACTGTTTGAGTTGATGTAATGAGTAAAATTCTCCACTGTGAGGTCAATAAAGTCAATCAATCAATCAATCAAACCAGACTCAAATGCATATAATAAAACAAAAAGACAACACAAATGTATAACAGTAAGTTAAAGAAGATGAATGACTACTAATAACAGCCTGATATTTCCGCTTTACTGAAATGTCAAAGTTAAGCAAACTGGTATGTTGTTGAATTCCATGCAGTTAAAGCTACGAGGAAATAAAACGTACAGCAATTCTTGAGAAGATTTTAGGAGACCTTCTAAGACTATTTTTTTTTTCATTTGTCTAAGTTTTCCAATAAAAAATAATAAAGTAGTAATAAAGAAATAAAACGAACTTGCTTTATATCTGGTGTTTATCTGTTTTTCCATGGACAGCTACCTGTGATAATCTAACTTACCCCAAGGTTTTCATTTGGTTGTAAAGACTTACAAGAGTCTTATCTTTTTTTTTCCTTTGTTGATTCTCGTGTGACACTAACCCAACCTGATTAGGTTGTAATGTTCCTCCTTGCTTATATTGTCTTTTCTAGGCATGATGGAAGGACTTCATAGCCAGAGTCTCAGCTTGGATCGACGCAGACAGGAGCTTCTTGAGGCTCGATTCACTGGAGTAGGTGTTGCTAAGGTTAGTATAAAGTGCTTTTAAAGGTGTTAAACCCTTATAGTTTTTATCCTCCTTTTTTGCTCGATTGTTACACAAAACTGTTCCAGATTTAAAAAGTAGTTTTAATATCATAGATAGATAGTATAATTTAATACAAGGTTCACTTTTAAAGTAATTTCTTCAAATGATGAAACAAAACTCATGAATCTAACCTGATTCTTTGTTAAACCATCAGCTCACTTGTTAAATCTTACATGAACTTTGATAAACAGCGTCTCCTGGGCTGGACTCTGAGCTCAGTTTATCTTGCTGTAATCAAGGTGACAATACCAACTAATAATCGATCAGGAAATCTGTATTATTGAACCTGTTTGATAGCAGGAAGTAGGCCAAGATCACTTTAAACAACACATCAAGCCCAGATCTTAAAAAAAAAGCTGTAAAGCAGTTACAGCTGCGTCAGAATAACAATAAGAAGACGTTTCAGAGAGCCCTTAAAAGAGGGCAGCCTTTGAAGTCAGAGTCTATGAATGGATTTAAAGTTGTTTAACAGTGGAAGTAGCCAGATAATACAGCAGACAATGTAGAAAAGGAGAGTAAGGAGAAAGAGAGCGAAACAATTAATCATGGCTTTCTGTTGACCGGTGACGGCAACATTCCATGTAACTCGGCCTGTTCACACAGTCATGAAAGAATCTCACATGAGTCACTTCAGGGCAAAACAATCAGATTTATCTGCTGTGTCAATGTAGTTATAGTGTCTTACTTCGGTTAAATGTGATGTGACTGAAATTGAGTGCTTCTACGCTTTAAAACTTGCACTTTGTGCAGTTATATTGCAAATGCAATCATTTGCACAGTTCTAGTCGTACTGTGTCTAAAGTGTAGGACAATGTATAGCATTTGTTGTTAGCCACAGTAGGTTTATACCTGAGCAACATTTTTGAGTTTGGTTTTGGTAAATGTTTGACACGTTGAGCTTAATTTAAGCTGGGAAAATCTTGACTTTTCAGTACAAAGTGAACATACCGTTATGTTCCTGTCCTGTAAACCTGTGATTTCTGGGTCTGACCGCCTAAATATGCACCCAAAGTTGTGTCTTCATATTTGGGCGGATATCTTTGTCACATCTGTCCTCATGTGTTTCTTCTTCGGCATCAACTTGAGCTTTCTGGTTTTCGTCCCTAATGCAACCCACAGGACACGCAGACAACATTTCATTATTTTAAGGTCTCATCCAGTGGCATGTTTAATGGGCGGACATATTTTTGAATATGCAAACTGTCCTCTTTCATCAGTGGTTTCATCACTCTGTCATCTTTAGTACTTTAGGTAATGTCATATAGGTCTGTTGTGAGCATCTGTAGCTGTAAGATTTGGTCAAACTGGCTAAATATTACATTAGCATATAGAATATCAGCTTATAAAACTTCACAGACCTCTGCTGTATGTGTTTTGAATCCCCCAATTTATAGCATACCATAATGGAGGATTTTATAAGCGGGATCCTATCAATTAATCTCATAAGTTGTTTCTCTGGGTGTTACAGACCTCTGCTAACAGCGAATCATCAAACCAGTCTCAGTGCAGCGCCGGATCTGTGAGTGACAAGGAACCAGAGGTTGGTTTGCATTATTTATTTCTTCTTTATGTTAAAGCAATGCTTTTTTCTTCTACTTTAGCTTTATTTTTTTTCTATCTTTAACAAAAAAATTACGTTTGAAATGGTAGTAGGGTTGTCAAAAGTATCGAAACTCAAAAAAGTATCGATACTGAA